CAAAGGAAAAGATGGATAGATCCTTGGATTCTTCTATCGCAGCAACTATGTGATCAATTTTTGGAGTTAGGCTTAGCAATACCTTTTCCACAATGGTCTGATCAGTTAACTTCTCTCCGTAGGATCACATTTGACTGACAATTGTCGTTGTTCTAGATGAAAAACTAACAATGGATTATCCACTTTTCATCATCAAGGTTTCAAAATCACGCCGAAGTGATTGCAGTCTCACCACAATGACCTTTGAATCGCCTTGAAACTCTTTCTGGAGAATCGTCTAGGCTTGTTTGGATGTGGTGGCTATTGTTATCCGTCAAAAGACACTATCATGAACAACCTGCTAAATAAAAACCAACGCTTTAGCATCTTTTTGCTTCTTGCTTTGCAGTTTGTTTCCTTCGTCGGGATCTGCAAATCCACATTCTACCAAGTCCCAAAGATCTTGAGATTTCAGTTTAGTTTTCATACGGATACTCTAGAATTCGTAGCTTTCTCCCTTGAAGACAAGAATGAGTGGTTGTGCCATACTCAATGCACTATTGCTACTTGCCATGGCTGGCTCTGATGCCAAATTTGTTGGAGAAAAAGTACAGAGAAATCTGAAAATAATAAAAAAGAGAAGGAAAAGTGCAACTGCGTTTAATTTCAGATTAATTGGAAGTACTAAAATAACAAAATATGCCCACATGATATATAGCCTAAGATATAAACAACTAATCCTAAAATATAGGTCCTGTTATGATAATTAATCAACAACACTAATGAAACTTGAGTAAATATAGGAAACTACTTAACAAAGACCCAAAGACTAGTTCTACTAAACTACCCATGTCCCAATTCAGTCAATCGTTTTGAATCACTCTTTAACAATGTTGTGGTTATCATTTAGTATCAATTATCTTATTTTCATAGGCATCTTGTAAAATTTAAAACATGTATATATATTTCTGTTGTAACCACAAATGCATCAGAGGGAAACACAATCATAGTTCCTCAAGTTCTTTCTACTCTCTTATATTACATTGACAATATTGAAATTCAAATACTTGAACTTGTCATGTATCTTTTCAATGTAATGAGACTGTGAAAAGGCTAATCCTCGTGGAGTCCTAAGGATTCTTATACCTAAGATCACATCAACAATTCCATTGTCTTTCATAACAAAATTGCTTTCTACGATACACTTAAGCATATTTATCACATTCTTTCATCTTAAATTCATTTTCCAACATGGATTGGTCAAGCTTCACATTTTATTATTTGGGTCCTTGTTTTAGTTCGTAAAGATTTCACAACTTTTAACACTTTTATTTCTTTAACAGGAACCACAAAGACCACGGGTTGTTCCATGTAAATTTTTTCCTCTAATTCTCCAGTCAAGAAATTTGTTTTCACATTCATTTGACGAATTTATAGGTCATATACCACAACTAGTGCAATTAACATCTGAATGGATGTAATCCTAGTTAGTAGCCATTATGTGTCAAAATAATCAAGACTTTCTTTTTATTTAAAGCTTGTGACGACACATCTTGCCTTGTATTTGTCAATAGTTCCATCAACTTTATTTTTCTTTTGAAGATTCACCTTGAAACCAAATGTTTATTTCCTGGAGGAAGGTCAATCAACTCTCAAGTATGATTGCTCAAGATTGAATCAATCTCACTATTGACAACCTCTTTCCAAAAGGATGAGTCAACATAAGACATAACTTCTTTGAATGTATGAGACTTGTTTTTAATAGGAAATGTTACAAAAGTAGATCCAAAATAAGTAGATGTCCTTTATTAAGTGTGTTCTCCTTTGGTTCTTTCCATGGTTGTTTAGACCTTTCACTAGACGACTCAAGTCTAGTTTCATATGGATATGTGTTCAAAGAACTTAGTGTCATCTGATTCAATTACCGTATTGTCATAATTATCTGATTGTTTAGACTTTTGAATAAAAAATTGACATACTTTAGTGTTTGTAGCATATCCAATGAACATACAATCCACAATGTTAGGTCCTATTTTGACCCTTTTGGGGATATGAAATTGGAGTTTGATTAGACACCCCTACACTTTTCATTTCTCATATGGAATAGATTGTGTCTTGAAAATTATTAGATCACTATCTTTCAAGCGTATATATATTAAGGGGCAACAATAAATTCTTTATTAGGATACAATAAAGCCTAAATAGAAAACTTTTTGTTGCTCCCTTTCTGAACAGAAAGATCTTTTTGTTGCTCCCTTTTGTTGTAACACATTCAATATTTCCTTCAAAGTTCAGTTTTTTCTTTCCGAAATTCCATTAGATTGAGGTGAGTATGGGCAATATCTTTTTATCCAACTAAATTTCAACTTCACGTTTATATTGCCTAGATGTTTCTATTATTTCGTCCTTATCATTAAGCAAATATACATAACAATATCTAGTGCATTTGTTAGTAAAATTTATGATAGATTTTTCCCATAGCGAGACGGTGTTGACTTCATATCACAAATGTCAGTTTAAATCGACTCTAAGGGATTAATATTCCTTTCATAAAATTTAGAAAAATGCTTTGATCAATTTTCACAATGTTTTGTAATTGACATGTCCCGAGCTTTCATGTCACAAATAGTTTGACTCAAGCAAATAAGAACAAGTAGAAATATTGAGTTTGAAAAGATACTCTGTGAGGTGACTTTTTCTCACAAATATTTTGTTATTTACCTTTTATAACGTTGTTAGATACAAACATTGTTTAGAGCCAACATCTTGCCACATGTCCTTTTCAGAAGGACCTTTCCATCAACTTTAATTTGGTGGTTATAATATTACATATGAACATAGTCTCATCGGGTCCAATAAGGGCAATATGACCCGAATACTTCTTTTACAACACAAACATGACAGATGATTTTTTACAAATATTCATGTCGATACAAATAGTTATATTTTAATAGACAAATCTTTTTATGAAAAATCACAATATTTTAAGTGAAACTCTGTCATAAGAGAACACTACTCTTTGGAAGAAGTATATACTTAATTTGGTCGTTTTATACTAGTCATACGATATACTAGTAAAAGAGAAAATCAATAACCACATCATCAAATATACTCCAAGAGTTTTGTGGGTCTAACATAATACAAAAATGTAATTGAATTTCATATTTTGTGCTACAAGATTTAAATTAGACACACATTTTAAATATGATCTCAAAAAAAAAAATCAAATATTTTAAAACAATTTATCATTCTTTCAACTTGTATACCATCAAAATACAAATTGGCAGCATGAAGCCTCTTTTAGAGATAATATTCTACAAAAGAATTGTTAGTGCTTCAATTCCCTTTGACAATCTTTACAAAATATCAAAGTTCAATCCATAGACATTGCAGGCACAAATTCATTGACTTTATGTAACCATTTTTTTCCTGTCATATTATGACAATTTAGTATTTAAAATATTAACAATAAAGAATAAATCTTTATACAACTTATTTCTAATTAACAATACATTTTTTATATTGTACAATTTTTCAACCAAATAAACATTGAATGTTGTGAAGTTTTTATACTCTTTAAGTCAAAATATTCATTCAAATAAAGTGTTTAATAAATTGGTGAAATTTTTATATTCTTCAAACCAAAGGAGTGCACAGTCTGATTTATTCAGTGAAGTTGTTATAATTTTCAAACCAAAGGAGTAAAAATTAAGAAGTTTTTAGGTTCCAAAAATCATACACAATCAAATTTCACACAGAGTAGAAAACTACACCGGTTTTAGTCACCAAACTTGACCGTAAAATAATATTTAAAATTTTCTTGAACATCTTTAAAATGGAAATTCACACTTCTCAAAATATGACCCATTTGGTACTCTACCAAATTGAATAAGTGAAATCTCATTATTGATGACAATCTATTAATTGGAATTTTCACCGGAACTTATTGGCTCTCTTCTTCCTCGGCCACACTAAATAAGTTAAAGCATTAGAGACTGCGAATAATCAGACATGTAGCATATTAAAGTGGTACTTTCATCATAAATTTCTTTTATCATATGATAAATGATTCTCTTTCTCATTCTTTTTTTTTCTCCAACAAAGTAGATCACAAAAAAAATGCCAAGAGTAGAATAATTTCTTACAATTGTTGTTAATATGTATCACTAAAATATTTAGAACAGTAATTTTGGAGAACTTGATAAGAAACAATAAAGTTTAAAGAATATTTTTGAACTAGAAACTTAAAACCAGTAAATAAAAAAGAAATTGATAAAATATTTTTTCTAGGAAGAAAATCGATCATACTGAACCCACAATGTTTCCTTAAGGAAATTATTCACTCAAGTATCCGGGGATAATGGAATATTCTTCCCATAATAGAATGATCTTACATATCGGTGTATTAGTTAGTACATAAAAACATGGTGTCAATGAACCACTCAACGACAATAATGTACACTAGAATTTGTTAGTGGTGAAGAAGAAGAAGTTCTGAAATTCGGAAACTTAGTTCTTGAAAAATAAGAGTAAATCCCTTTATTTATAGATAACAAGGGTAGTGCGAACATGTACTTATTGTGCCTTATCGGAAATGTCACAACCATTTGGAAAAACTAAAAAGTCATAACATTTGGTAAAAGTGAAAACTTTATGGAAAAGTTGCAACGTTTCATAAAAGTCACAACTCTTCAAAAATGTCACAACTCTTCAGAAATGTCATAACTCTTCATAAAAGTTGTAACTTTACATAAAAGTCAGAACTCTTCATAAAAGTCATAACTCGTCATAAAAGTCATAATTCTTCATTTTCCATTCACCCCTTTTAAAAGCCAGCAATTTTTATGATATAATGTTGTTTTCTATTACTGAAATAAAGGCAAAGAGAAATAACTATAATTTTTATCGTTTTGAAGACCATATGCATTGTCTAAATATTCCCCTTTATCAAAATCTTGTTGCAATTTGTTTTTGAACAATACTCAGAAAAAACTTTTCTTTAATTTTCTGAAAATTCTGCAATGAATAATTTTTCAAAGGAAGAAGTTGAAGTTGTTATGGTTGGAGCAGGTCCATCAGGTATAGCTGTTTCGGCTTGTTTGAATAAATTGGACATCAAAAATGTTGTGTTAGAAAAAGAAGACTGTTGTGCCTATTTGTGGAAGAAAAAGACTTATGATAGACTTCACTTGCATTTATCTAAGGAGTTTTGTTCATTGCCTTTTATGCCACATGCAACTTCATCACCTAAGTATTTGCCAAAAATTGAATTTATTCAATACTTAGATGGGTATGTTGAACATTTTAACATCAAACCAAAATTTCAAAATTGTGTTGAATTAGCCTTTTACAACAATGATAAAAAGAAATGGAATGTCAAATCAAGACATGTGGCTAGTGGAGAAATGGAATGGTATGCTTGTGATTTCTTGATTTTGTCTACTCAAAAAAACAATGAAGGTTATATTCCGAAGGTGGTTGGAATAGAAAATTTCAATGGTGAAATTATTCATTCAAGTGACTATAAATTCGGTGAAAAATATAAAGATAAAAAAGTGTTGGTTGTTGGATTAGGAAATTCTGGGATGGAAATAGCTTTTGATCTTTCAAATTATGGATGTCACACATCAATTGTTGTTAGAAGCCCAGTAAGTTTCTCTATCTCTCTATATATTGTCTTTACTTTCATCTTTTTTCGTTTGCCTGCACGTGGATTTGTGTTTGTTGATTTTTTTAATTAATATCAGCTCGGTGTTTGATCAGTTTAGTCATAGATCAACTATTTTACTTGGTACCTGTTACTTTTTACTAGCATATGTGATGTTGTAATTTGTTCATCTAGAGATCGGTGTAAGTTTCTTGCCCGTCCACACTAGGTCATACCCTTAAGTGGAAGGGCTGAAATTTGAATATGATTCATATATACCCTTATGATATTTCTTATCTAAAAATAGGTTTTGATTCACTTCACCTTCAATAATTTCAACCAACTCATCAGTTGCGGAAGAATTTATATACTAACATACTCAACACCAAGCACAATACAATATTGCAAAAACAACCTCAATTTTGAAAACAAAGTTGATTTAAGGAAATCAATTATTCTAAAAAGGGAATACTGGTTGAATAAAAAGTTATTAAAGAATATAGCGTTGGATTATTATAAATACAAAAAATTGCAATAGATATTTAAATTTCCAAAACATAGAAGGATCTCATTATTCCATTTCTAAATCGCACAAAATTAGAAATTTTAAATTCATGTTCGCTTTCTCATCAGATATTTTATACCATGAGAAAAAGAAGAGTATGATAGGGGTTCTTTTTCTTATAAGTAGAATCTTAATTTTTTCTAAGTTTGTCTTATTAACAAATTTTTACATTGTCATTTTTTACATATTGTACCGAGAACATATTCTATTTTTATAAGATTTTAAATCACATTCTTCTGAAGAAACTTGCCAATATATATTTGTTTGATAACTTGATAGATGATAGTACAAAAAATTATTTACACTAACTGTATATGAAACTTAGATTCCTTATTTAATTTAATCTTTCGTGCATTACCCAAATATATTTCTTTTTTTAGAACACTTTCTAAACTCACTTACCAACATTGATATATGCTTTTGAATACTATAATGTCTCAATTTAGAAACCATTTCTCCATCAGGAGAAAGATGTGGATTGCATAGAACCAATCGTGTCCAAATAGGGAGGCTTATTTATGGATGATAACGGATGTTGTTCACTCTTGTTATGCAACATTCAGAAGCCTCATTTCATGTAACGACTAATTTGTGTGATTACATCATAACCTTTTATTTTATTTTCTCATTTTACCTTTATTATTATATAATAATCACATTTTATCCTTTACCCAACCTTTTTATTGTAAATCTACCTGTACATCATAGTTTATTCTTCAAATTCATGATGACAATATGTAATGATGAAAATGAATCAATCTATCCAAATATCATATTTATCAAAATAATAAAGTACGACACAATACAATATGAAACAATTTATAATAATCTTCTAAAAGGTGATAATTACATAATCTAATATTTTACTTAATGGTTAAAAGAGTGCCCTTGAACCTTTGTCATTGGATTAATGACATAATAGCCTATTTGGCAAAGCTTTAACGTACTACTTATTTTGATATAATTGTATTTTGTTAATTACTTTGAAATCACTTTTAAAAAAATATTACATCACCGATTAATGCTATATGAAACCATTGTTGTTGTCAACTTTGTGTTGGAGCATATTAATTCTATCAAATATGTACATTTCATTCGAATTCTTTTTATGTTTAGTTATTACATATGCATATGTTTCCTATATCTTTTCGATGGTAATTAATACTCGCCATTTCCATCAAGTAACGTAAATATCTAAAGCCTTATCTCTAACACAACTTATGAAAAATAGCATATGTTTGTATCTTGAGATTGTAAATTAGTAATTTAAATTTAGATCTAAACTTTTTAGTAAAATGCAACAGTAAGAGAGGAAGAATTTTGTATTTTATTCCTGAGATGAGAGTAATTTGTATTGTATTTAAATTAGGTACACTAACAACATAAAGATTTTTTACACTAATAACATACATAGTTTAATATTTGTAATTTTATGTGGTTACTACTAATGTTTACCTTAAAGATTTATATGCAATTACCTTATGATTGACCTGATTTTGTACTTCTTTTTTAATATCGTCAGAGCATGACACTTGAACTCGTAACCTAATACGTTTGCAGATTCATGTTTTAACAAGAGAAATGGTGCATATTGGAATGGTGTTGCTAAAATATCTACCATTATCTTTGGTAGATATTGTGATTGTAAAAATTGCAAAGTTTAAGTTTGGAAATTTGGCAGAATTTGGAATACCACAACCAGAAAAAGGTCCATTTTCTGTTAAAATCTCAAAAGGTACATCTCCAGTAATTGATGTTGGTGCCATTGTCAAGATTAAACTTGAAGAGATTAAGGTATGTTACTATATTTATTTATTCTCATTATACTCTGAGAAATATTATGTGAGAAACAAATGACTTGAGTTGCTCTGTGGGCTTTAGTCTGATGGTAAGAGCACAACCTGTGATGTCTGATGTGTGGTTAGGCGCAAGTCATGAGTTTGAATTCTATTACAACCAAAAACCTAATATTATTTAATGAGGAAGAGTTGAAATACATGTTCATTATCTATAATGTTTCAAATTTTACATCTCTAGTTCTCGGGAATTTCTCGAGTAACAAAAGGAAAAATATATATGTATAGTTTATTCATCTTTTAAAAACATGAAGGTTACAATTCCATATATATAACATATAACTAGAAAATATTTTGGGATATAAATTACAAAATTGTGTATAGTTTTTATATATTGTCTGTAAGTTAAATTTGTGTGGTTTATGTATTTGGTGAATTATTAATTAGGTACTTCCCGAAATATCAGAAATAAAGGAACATACAGTAGTGTTTGAGAATGGGGAAGAACATCAATTTGATGCAATCATTTTTGCTACTAGATACAAAAAATGTTGCTTCCAAATTGCTAAAGGTATATTTTGCAAATTATCTAATATAACGTACTATAAGTTCACTCTCTTTTTCTAAAACATGTACAATTTTATTACTTTTTTTGAATGAAGCATTATAGCTCTATATTTTTTGACGATGGAACATTGATGAATAAGTTTCCAAATCATTGGAAAGGAGAGAATGGGATCTACTATGCTGGATTTTCAAAAAAAGGGATTGCTGGTATTTCAATAGATTCTATAACTATTGTTGATGATATTAAGGCTGTCAGAGGAGACAAAATTTAGACATCCATTATTATAGAGACTATGTTGTTAAATAAATTTGTCGGACTTGGCGGGATGCTTCTGCACCAAGATTGACTTACTACTATGTTGTTAGATTCTCCAGGCCCTGTGCAAATGCAAGATGTTTTGTGCACCAAGCTTGACTTGTTACTATGTTGTTAAACTGATCTAGAACTTAAAAACCCTATTTGTTTTAGTATGTTTTTGCCATAATATAATTTTTTTCTACTGTCATACTGATTCGATGGATCTTTTCTAATTGTTTTTATTTGTTATTTTTTAAAATTTTTATAATGAGGTGTGGGGTTCAGATCACAAAAGTTTCAACTATTAATTTGAGATTTTTCTATGTCACGATCCATATTTACAAGTTGTGATGACACCTATACTCTCAACCGGAGTTAATATCTCAGATTGTCACTCAACTATGCATTCTTCTCTCAGAAATTCACTCAACTTTCAATTTTAAACTCAAAAGTCACTCAAGTATTAATTTTAACTCAAAAGTCACTCAATTATCCACTCTTCTCTCAGAAAGTCACTCAATCTAGTTAATTGTTATTTTAATTAATTTTTTTTGATATAAATTGTTTATATAACAACAAAATTTTAAAAAATAAAAAATACAATTTAAACCATTTAGTGATCCACCCACTTGACCCGACCCATTAAAAATATAATATGACCCATTTTATTTTGCCCTTACTCCTAAATTATTCCCTCTCTTTATGACTCTTTCTCCTCTTCTCCTCTGCATTTTTTTCGTTCTCCATTGTTGCCACCTCTTCTTCCCCTTTATCTAGGTTTTAATTTCCAAAATTTCAAAATCATGACTTCATAGTTCTTGAATTTAGGGGGTATGATTTATTTTAGTACCTCATAGATATTGTCTAAATTAAAACCTAACTAAAAGAGTTAACTAAAAGATGAAGAAGAAACATCAATGGAGAACTAGAAAAAAACACAATTGGAGGAGTAAGAGTCATAAAATGGGTCAATATTATATTTTTAGTGGGCCGGGTCATTAAATAGTTTCAATGGATTTTTTTTATTTTTGTTTTTAAGTTAAAAATTTATATCATCAAATCTTAATTAAAATATCAATTTAATAGGTTGAGTGACTTTCTGAGAGAAGAGTGAATAGTTGAGTGACTTTTGAGATAAAATTCAAAGTTAAGTGACTTTCTGAGATAAAAGTGCATAGTTGAGTTACTTTTGAGTTATAATTGAAAGTTGGGTGACTTTATGAGAGAAAATGCATAGTTTAGTGATCATCTGAGATATTAACTCCTCTAAACCGATAGGTAAGCCAACCCAATAATCTTGCCAGTTCAATTTAACATAATTAAGAGAAAGGTAAGTGACAAGTAAAATATCTCAAAGAGTAATAAGTAGGTCCCAAAAATTTGAAAATGCGGAAGATTGAAATATCACACAAGATTTGGTGTCATAAATACAAAAGCTTCTAAAACATAGTGCAAGTCTGAAACTCAAATGACAAGTCTATATGTAAGAAATTCTTGTCTGAATACTAAAGCAACAAAATAAATAATGGGATAGAGGAATGTGTGGGCCGCACGCGGATCAGCCAAACAACTCACCACAATTTCTAAATAATCCAAGCACAGACTCAAAAAGCTACACGAGATGCGCTCGCATTAAGAATGTGATCTTCACACAGTATGTCTCATATACCGACAACGAAAAAGTAGTGACAGGAGTACATATAAGAAAATCACCCTTTTACTTACACAAGTCTACACTATACTTATGAGTAAAGTAACATCAAATAGGGTTAATCAAATATCAAGAAATATCCAACCATGGAATAAGCGCATAATCAACTACAATGAAGGATGTGATGATATGCAATGCAATGCAACACCATGAAGTGATATGCCTTTGATGCCAAGTACTCTCTCAACCGTATATACACGATACTTCTAGGAAATACAATAAGAGTTCGTGACCCACATACCAACATGGACAATCTCCATGTTTCTATACGGACGATCTCAACGCACTCTCATAAAATCAAAAAATCCCTAGTACGAAGGGTCTCAACGTGCCCAACTTATAATCATAAAATCAAACAATCTCCAACCCGGACTATCTCCACGTACCCAACTTATACTCAATCTCATATCAATGCATGTGCACAATATGATATAAATAAAAGGGGATGATGATGCATCTCAATCAATCAAATATCGGTATGCCATAAAATCACCTCGACTATCACAAATACGGGTTAATTAAAAAAGTACAACAACACAAAAGATACCAAGTCAATAATACATCAGCTAATTCCCATATTCTTTGGTATTCTTAATTTATAATTGATCATTCTATAGTAAGAAACTTTCTCTTTATAACATCGGTACTCGTTCCAATGCCCGTCATACCATTGGTACGACACCCCCATCTTTCACCTTTATCTATTGTCTATTCTATTTTTATTCTTTAATTAGAAAAACTTCCTTCAATGAAGCGTGAAAGTCTTAACATACCTTGAAACTCGAACATGTGTCACCAATCTACAAGATTTTTCCTTTCCCTTTTGTAAAGCTTCAGAATGTTCTCAAACTATCAAATATGCAATCTTCGTAAGTAAGTGAGTCTATAGACACTCATATTACTATAGGTCTAGCCTAGATCCAAAACTCACCTTAATATATAATTAAATTCTTTAACGGATAAGGGTCTAAAATGCCCCTCAACTATTTTAATTGGTAAAAAATTAACCTCCGTCTACCTTTCACCCCCAAATACCCTTGATGTCAATCTTTTGATTAAAAAATACCCTTATCTGACGGCCCACACTTAAAAGGTGGATGAGAGGACAATATGGTACCAAATCCCATAGTTCAAGGGTATTTTAGACCCTTATCCGTTAAAATAATTTGAAATTACTTAATATATGAGCTCATATGATTGACCTAATTTTGGATTCCATAGTAAAATTACCTCCCCCATTTACTTCCTCTCTCTTCTACTTTTCTTTTCTTCTTGAATCTTGTCCACCATTTTATATTTAAATTTTTTTAAACTTATGAAAAAACAATGGAGAAAAAAGGAGGAAAGTAACGAGGATATTCATATAGAAATAATTGGTTCGACAGAAGATTATTTAATATCATTTTTCTTTTATGTATACCCAAAATTCATAATTAACAAATAAAAATAATCTTCTCATCTCCCCATCCTTCCCCACCATGGTAATAATATAAATTAAAAGAATATGAACATGTAAGTTCTTGTGAGTCTCTGATATCCTAGTCAAGAGCAAGAGATTAAAAAAAAGAAATAAATGAGGGAATGTACAAGACAATTGAATAATTAATAGAAAAAAATATGTTGATAAAGTACTCCCTCTGTCCCAATTTATGTGGCACTTTTCATTTTTCGAGAGTCAAACAGTTTAAGTTTGGCTAGAAATTTACGCATGAAATGATCAATTTTTTTTGAAATAAAATTTGTATATTTGTAAACTACGTAAAAAGTACTATAATTCACAAATATTGATAATTCAAAATGTTTAAAAGATCTATGAAAAATTTACAGTCAAAGTTAGACTTGTTTAAATCTCAAAATCCGAAAAGTGCCACATAAAATGGGACGGAGGAAGTAATATTTTTATATGAACAATTATATTCACATATTAGATGAATCCTAAGTTGTGACTTCGGCTATAATAAATTGGATATTGTTTTAAAATAAGCTAATGGAAAGATATCATGAAATAAATAATTTTTTAAATATTATTTTCAAGCGTATCATGTCAAAATATGAATTATATGTGGTTTTAATTATTTATTTGTAAACGGTTTAAATTTTGACCAATCTGATTAGACAACATAATAAATAAATATTTAATTATATTGCTTTAGGGGAGTTGTTAAAAATAAGGGCAAATATGAGTGAGAGGGTTAATATTTAGGGTATTTTAGAACCAAAAGGTTGACGTCAGAGATATTTGGGGGCCGAAAGGTGGATGAAGGGTAGTTTTGTACGAATTCGAATAGTTAAGGGTCATGTTAGGCCCTTTTCCAATTCTTAAATCTTGGTGCCAACTAAATAGGTCAAGTCTCATATTCCTAAGTTTTAAGCTCAGGGTTAAGTCTCAATTTACCAAAATACCATGAACTTAATGGCGTTCATCTAATGTAATACACCTAATATTAATGGTTGCAAGGATTGTTGATAGAAACCAAAAGAAATTTTAACAGAAGTAGCTAATCTTTCATAGCAACTCAACTTCGGTCCTTCCTATAACAAAACAACCAATCATTATTGTATGATATATCCTAATTAACCACTAATTCCCCCATCCAAAGCTACACTAATAATTAGCCACCAATAGAAAATTTATCAGTTTGTTCCTTACCTGTCGTTTGAGCAGGTCTCTTCTGCTCTTCTATCTCTTTTCTTTTTCAAAATGAAATAATTAGGTATTAAAAGTGACAAATTCCACTAACTTAATTTAATTATATGGGCAAAATGGTAAAGTGTACTAAATAAATTATAGACTTGGCCATTAACTGTCACGACCCAATGTATACCCTACGTGTAACATGACATATACGACCCTGAGAGGCCCTACACAAGCCACTTAGCATACATCAGATAATAGAATAAATAATTCAAAATCAAAGTCTTATATCATAAATGAGTTTTGACAAAGCAGAATTCTAACATACGTCTCAATAAGCCATCTAGTACATCATAAGAAAACTGATTGGGACATAACCCATACATCACATGCAAACTCTGAAAATGGAAATGACATAAGCTTTAAAAGTATCTCGATCCTCGGACCACGAGGACTCACAAATCTTCAAAGTGTATGGAACCAACAATTCCACAAGTATGGGTGGTAGGAGTATCAAACCATGTAATAGTGAAATAATGTAGGGACAAGCATGAATTAGTACATGGAATGACTAAGTATGTGTAAAACCTCAAAACTTGAGAATGGGCTAGAAAGGGCAAACAAGAAAGTCCAAGAACCCAAAATGGACCACGGACCCTTCACATTACCCTAGATGAGACGTTTAGGGGTCCACGGCCCGTTAAGGGCATCGTGAGACCATCTAGGACTTCCCCTAGGCAGGAGTCACCTGGAAGGTGCCCTAGACAGCCCGTGGTGACTTGGACGTGTAACACCTTAAGATTTATCTAAGATTGAACCAGTGAGAAGTGCAAACACCAGAGGGGGTCCATAGGTCGTGAAGAGGACCACGACCCATCACCCTGCTTGTGGTTGTGCACCCAACAAAAGGTAAAAGACCACGACTACCAAACAGTTTGTGTAGCTCCACATAGGCCGTAAAGTGGCCCGTGAGTGGGAAACCAAACCACCATGGCTACTGTGAAGGACCACAGTCCACTTGATGGTCCGTGGAGCATCACACAAGTCGTGAAGTGGCTCGTGAAAGAGGCTTGACAGACTTTGAGGTTTGTGTCAACTTGAAAATATCATATTATTCAACACAACATGATTTAGGTGGCCCACGACCTATCAAATTAAAGGTCTTTGAGTCCTTTTTCCAACGCCACCAAGTTTGCCTAATTCCGAGCTCGGACTAAGAAGTTATGGTCATTTTAGTAAATCCCTATCGGATAGGGCATCTTCACGACCCACTTGACGGGCCGTGGTGCTCTAGACGGACCGTAAATCCTATCTTGAAGTCACTTCATCAAGTTATAAGTGAGGTTTAACCCTCAAAGTCACTAGTTAAGCACTACAGACGTCTAAACAGTCCGTGAAGCTCCACACAGACCATAAAGTCATTCGTGAAGGGGACTTGTCAGACTTAGAGTTTAGGGTCAACTTTAAACGATCATATCTTTAATCACAAAATGCATTAGGTGGTCCATGACCTATCAAATTAAATATCTCTAAGTCCTCTTTCCAACGCCACCAAGTTTGCATAATTCTAAGATCAGAGTAAAAAGTTATGCCCATTTTAGTAAAGCCCTGTTGGTCAGGGCATCTTCACGAGCTGCTAGACGGGCCTTGGTCATCATGATGGTCCGTGAAGCCTGTCTTGAAGTCACTTCGGCAGCATTTAAGTCAGGGTTGCATTAGACTTTTCCCCTATGCGTTTGGTACTTAAAATACACCATTTAATGCTTAAAATACATCATTTTACTCAGTCTAAGACTAATAATCTAGTAAGAACCTACCTAGAACCCTCATTCTCCTAAAATCACCCAGATTGGAATGAAAAGAAGAGTAAAAGTCGACAGCTTCTCCTAAGAACAAGCAGAGGTCTTCTTCAAGTTCATCCCCGAAATCCAAAGGATTTCACTGTAGAATTCGTCACAATATTAGTGAGTCCTCTTCAACCAATTCCATGTGAACCTATGCCTTGATCTATGAACTTTGACTATGAACCCTAATTTACATGAATTTATGAAGAAGCTTGAACATTTGAATGTATTCTTATGAAATCATGCATATTTGCATGATATAAAGGTGTATGACTCAAGTGAAGATTATATATGAAGGTATCTACATGTTCTATGAAGCTTGGCCACATGACATGAATGACATCTAGATTTGCCGTCAATGCTTTTGGGCTATTTTCCTAAATTAGGTCTCGATTAGTATGGTATTCGGATGTGCCATCAATGATCATAGATCACTCTTTTAAAAAAACTTCCATTAGTAGTAGGGCATTTCTAGTGTGAAGTTAATGACTATGAGCCTTATAAAGCTATTATGAAAAGATAATGGATGGTGGAAGGTTTTCTCACGCATGGTCTAAGGAGCTACTCTATGATGTTTTTAGGTTGGATTGGTTGCTTAATTGTGCCTTTCCATTGATGATAACAAGAATATGATTAAAGACTATTCCATGGGATTTTTACTTAGCACTGAGTGGACAAGTGGTGATTACCCATTCCCATAACTATGTGCCACCATAGGATGATTGTCTTAGATATACATTATCTAGTGGATCCACTTTAGCTTAGATTTATGGTCCTTACCTTGGCAAGTAGGACACCCTTTTTCAGTGTGGAGTAGACATTGGATTCCATGTTATAGCTCGCATGGTCTATATGCCGGCTAATGGTAAACTTCCCGCAAAACGAACTAAGTTAATTACTAATATTTTATGAAGATTCTTTATGAGTTAATGATGCATTGACTATGTTCATGATTTATGAATCTTCTCAAATGATTTTACTATGTTTTAACTTGGTCATGCATTTTGATGTTTTGATTATGCCCCTTTATGATCACGTCTCATGTTTTATAACATTTCTCTTATCCTTGGTAAATTCTATGTACTAACACAGACTCTTGACTACATTGTTTCACTAGTGTAGGGTCCAACGCTCCTATTCTACACCGCGTGGCTTGTGATCACCTTAGTATCTTTAAATATTGGTGAGTCCTCATGTTTCAAGGACCGAACCCTTTATTGCTTATTGTTTTCACTTTTCCATATTGTATGTGATGTATGGGTTATGTCTGAATCACTCTTTATGTAATAGATGACTTTGAGACTAAGTTAGACTTCCATTTCATTTTGTCAAACTCATATTGATATAAAACTGTCTTTTGAACACTTTCAATTCTATAAACTTGTATGATGTATGCTAAGTTGCTTGTGTAGGGCCTCTCGTGGTCTTATACGCCATGCCATGTCTAGAGTCTACATTGGGTCATGACAATATAGGGAAATATGCATAAAATAGGCATGATAGCATGAATGTCTTAAAACATGAAAGCATGATCATTCTTTGAACATTTAAAGACTTAAAGAAAAAATAACATGTGAATTATGAAATACAGTCAAATACAATAACATAAAGGACATAAATAAAAGCTTTAAAAAATATTGTCATTTTTTGAGATATTAGCTTTTACCCTAATTGAGCCTCCATCTCAAAGCCCTCTTGGTACTAATGCTAAATACCAACGGAATGGATAAAAGTCAATATGGATATAACATAGGAAAGATAATGATCAATACCAATCCACATATTCAAAGATCAAAACATAGAATAACTCCTTAAACATAATTCAACATGGATGAGAAAACCTTTCACCAATGTGAATCCATATGTGAGAAATACCTTTCACAATTATAATCAAATGATTTTTGTTTCTGGTAAAACAATTGTTACACCTTAAAAAAAATTAAGTTAAGACCCGAACTATTCTTCATTAACATGTAAAATCGTATCCAGTGATTCTTAAATCGCTTATATGTATAAAGGTCATTTCTTTGGTGTTCGAATGGATTTGGATATGACTTAAGGTCACAAGAACCCCCTAGCAAAAAGTTGAGTTGAAATCTTCATTACCGATTATGTTTTGACATAAGATTCTACTTAGGTCAACTTCAAATGATCATATCTCCTAGCACATAATGAACTAGGAGGCCTACGACCTACCAAAGTAAGGCCTTTGAGTCCTCTTTCCAATGCCTCCAAGTTTGTCTCATTTCATATGTTGAGTAAACAGTTATGACCGTTTTATTAGAGACTCCCATAACAGAGTTTTCTAAGTCTGTGACTGATCTAAGAGACAGGCCATAGGTTAAATGATGACCACCCATCCAATCAAGTTGTCGGTAAAGTACTGGAGTAAAT